TTTATTAGTGGGGGGGTTCTTTATGCTCTATCTACCTTATTTTGATTACGATAACATATTGCTAATATTACATTTTTATGGTGTAAGTGGCAAACGAGCACTCGGTTCATCTGATGATTAGTGGCTATCGACGCCAATAGACACCTGCAAATCAAAAGGAGTTTGCGGAAGGGGAGGGGGTATTGTTTCCTTGTAAAATACCTATTTTCTAGGGCCATAGTTATTTGTAAATATATTTTGATTGAGTAGTAGGAGAACCTATCATCACGATGATTTCATAATATCAACTAAGAAGTTTTCTTCTTATTTTAAATAAAAATTATATGATATTAATTTCCTTGGCGAATAAAACCAAAAGAAAAGGGCATATCGAATACAATAAAAGTAAAAAAGTAACTAATTCAATAAACGTCAAGCATAGCATCGATATCGATCGATAAAATCGTATGCGTCCAATCGGTTGATTATAAATGCTCGCAACGAACAACTCTCGCCGCCGGTTACGGTCGCTAACAAATTGTATAATTGAAATCGAGTCGGTATATTATTATCATATAATAAATAATTGCATCGTTTGTTCATTGGTTTAAGTCGCAAGCCATTTGCTATTTTGAGATTTGTTATTTTGTTTTTATGCAATTAAAATGGGGTAGAAATAGATATTATCTATGCATTATTTTTATTTTTTATTTTATTTTGCATTGGAATTGCTCTAAAGCACAACTGTCTTGTCTGTCGGTCTAGTGGTTAACGACCTTGGAGCCAGAACAAATAATGTAATGATTTTAGACAGGCTAAAAGAAAGCCTTATATAATGATTTAGAATATTATCTGCATCTCATTTTCATAATAAACAATTTAAACAAACAAAATTTAGTACAACAAAGCAAAGTTATAATGCAATTTGATATATAATACTCGGGACATACAAACATACACACTCAAATGTACGAAGTAGTTAAACGCTGTTGTTGATCGTAAGTGTTCTGCATTCTTTGGACGAGCTTAAATCGAATTACTTCAGTCTGCGCCTTACAATTTACTGAACCTCCACGGAAATAAAGAGTACAAGCAACATGCTTCTATACAGTAACATGTGCTGTTGTCTGTGTATTGAATTTCGAATGTATTCCCTTTTGTTTTGGGTTCAGTTTGGTTTGACACGTATAGCTCTTATGCGCTTGTACTAATAGTAGACGTGAGAGTTGATATATTAAGAAAAACAAATTGTTAATAAAAAGCTAGCTTGTTCCCGCGACTCATCAACAGCCTTAATTTGTTCACTGCTGGACATAGGCCTCTCCTTAGAAAGGAGGTTTAGGCCTACTATAGCACGCTGGCCAGACGGGTTGGTATAGGGTTTGTTTCAAGTTTTCCATCTCTTTGCAGTACTGTTGTCCTGCGCTCTCTTAGTCGGCTCTTACGACACCCATGGGATGAATAGGGGTGGTGACACTCCGTATTCTTAATCCGTCACGACACGGATATTCCAGCGACTGCTCTGTATTAATACAGATTTCGTAAATAACTTCAGGATTAAAACTTTGTTCTGAATGAATGTATGAATAGTCAAAACAAACATGTAATGTTACAACCCCGTTGTCAAGGGTACAGGTAGACTTGTACCCTTGACAACGGGTTTATAACATTCAATAATGATTACTTAAATAATCAAGTAATGAAAGAGTACCTAACAAACAAACACGCTCTCACATATATTAAGTAAGAACAGTAAGTATGTATATGTATTTATTCTATCGCTTCGAAAAAGCTCAAACGATTTGGATGAAATGTTGTGTTTATGAGTAGATAAAGATTGAAATGTTCAATTCTTTTACAGATATATATATTAGGTATTTTCTTTATAAAGGGGTTAAAAAACTTTCGAGTGTACTGGTTCGCCCGACTACGTTCCACAGAGGATTGGAATTGTAGAAGAGAGACAGTTACATCCAAAAGGATAGCAATAGTTCTGGAGAATTTCCGGCAATTTTCCAGAAGTATCAGAGAGTTCCAGAGTCCTTATTTACCACTATCCTCGTATCGTTTATCTCATTTCTTTTAAAACTGATATAAAGAGGCATAATAGAGAAAAAAAATCGCTGCGACACGGCGATAACTTGCAGGAATAATTGGCGATCGTAAATTATTGTATAATTGTAGAGTCCTTAAGCGATGTGTGAGACGAAGGCTCTATCTTGTCATGTGATATCGCTATGATCTATGGAGACAGATTGTACGGTGCAAAGTCCCCGCGGCCATCTGTTTTTTAATGTAGGGCCATTTTTGTGTGTGAAATAAATGTAATGTTTTCTGAATAAGTAAAAAAAATTAGACAGTACTTAAAATTGTATAATATCACGATAAAGATAAGACACTTTTTTACAAACATACTGGTTGACTGAAAATTATATATCATGATATGATTTGAATAAAAATACTAATTAAAATTACATCATACTAGCTTTCGAGTTTCCAAGAGTTTTCGAGTTCTGAGTTAAACAATAATTAACTTTTATAATATTATTACCGACTTCCGAACCGTATTGTTTAATATCTAATTATCCACCCTTGGCGGTAGTATTTCACAACTAAATAATAAAACAATTTTCTAAATTGGTAAGATGTAAAAATAAAGAAAAAAACAAGCCAAATTAGAACCTGTTTAGTAATGTGAAAGTTAGTTATGTTCACTAAACAAATATATATTACACTCTTTTCAAAAGCAAAACAGGAAATGAATTAACATAGAGTTTGTAGAGCAAAACCAAACCATTTAAAAGAACAAAATGTTAGTAAATCTTTTAATCTTAATAACAGAGGCTCTACATTATCTCTACATCGCAATGAAGACTCATGTCGTAGAATCGCATGTTCTTCGCTGTTACTAGTGTCCGCGACTATTTGTCGTTAGCTAATTTGTAGCTAGAGTCGATAAAGGCTGTATAATTAATTTGCATCTAGAAACAAATCACTAGCATTTGCTTGCGGCTTCGCTCTCTTGAAATATATTTTAGAGTGGGTACCCTTGCTGAGGTCGGTGTCCTTTGCTGTGTCATGATCTGTTCAGTAGTTTAGGTAAACGTAAAATTGTAATAAACTCAAAATATCTTTATTTCATAGCACTTTAAAAATTATTTGAAATCGTCTCTTGAGTTTTTTTTATGTTGACGAGTAGACGGGTCACCTGATGGTAAGTGACTATCGCCGCCCATGAACGTCTGCAACTCAGGAGTCACAAACGCGTTGCCGGCCTTTTAGGAAGGAGTACGCTCTTTTCTTGAAGGTTTGAAGGTCGTATCCGTCTGGAAATACCGCAGACGATAACCCGTTCCACAGATTGGTTGTGCGGGGCAAAAATTGTCTCGAAAAGCGCACATTAGTGGAGCGCCAACTATCCAGGTAATGAGGATGAAAATTTTGACGTGTGGAACGATGGCGGAAATTTGCGGCTGGTATTAGTCCGGACTCTAAAGTCATAGATCAACACACACAATAGGAAAAATCTAAGTTTTGTAAAATATTGAGCAAAATACATATATACCTATCTAAAATCTCTTATACACCTGTGCTGATCTACAACCGCTAATTTCCAAGGCGGTACTAATGAGTAATTTTATATTTTCATTGATACTATTTAATTCGGATGTAAATGGAAAGAAAGGTAAAGCAATGCAGCTTTCTTCTATCTAACCTTCTATCTATTTCACTTTTGAATGTACCTTTTTCTACAAAAGGCAAACAGATCCTAATTTTATAACTGAGAGTTACGCAACGCAATCAAATTTTACTGCTATTAGTACTGTTTTTATGTCAACTGACAACTTAGTGACATAAAAATGGCTGAACTGAAGAACTGAACTGAAGCACACAACATGGGCATTATTGAGATTTGTTAAAGATTAATAATAACGTTGTGTACTCAAGATTAACTATTTTTAACTAACCATTATTGTAGAATAAACTATTAAGTTCCGTTTTCAATATAAAAGACATCAACGCGCTCGGCGCACTTCGTTTCACGATGTTTGTTGTGACTACCAAATTAATTCACAACATTATACGTAATTAATATAAATTAATTCTTCTTAATAACTGATTGCACTACAAGCTATTTATTGTGTAATTAGATTTTATATCAATAAAAGTTGATAACATAAAATATTAATAGTTCTGTGAATAATAATAATATTTATCAAAAATCATCAATATCATCATCATTATTGTCATCATCGTACCACTCTTCTCCCAATTTAATTTTGGTCGGCTCGAGCGGAGTGATACCACGCGTGATAGTCAGCCTCACAGAAAACGATGTTAAGTAATTTTTGCGTTGTTTTTTAAAGAGTGCGTGACGTCACGGGATTCCCAAACTTCTTTCAACCAATTGTGGGACTCTAAGACAACGACAATGCACTAGTAACTCACGCTAGTGCCTATATTTTATGATACCATTGTATGTACCTGGTAGTTTAAAAAAGAGTCGCCGTGAGTTTGTTTGTCATTTCTTCTCATAAGGCTCAATCCCTTGGAAATGGGAGGTTGTAGATCGGCACAGGCATATCATAGATTTTGGATACATATATATTTAGTTTGCTAAATATTTGACAAAACATATATTGTTCCCATTGTGTGTGTTTATCTAAGACTTTAGAGTCGAAACGATTTGAAGCAATTTTTTTTTTTAAATAACGAACGTTTGAGTTTAGTGTCCATGGGGTACAGGGTCCAGTACCATCAAGTGACCAGTCTGTTCGCTTACCTCCTATACTATAAAAATACATTGAACGAGTAAAACTTGGACTGTACTTATTTGCTTTAATGATATTCCAAGATTATCACTCACACTCATACTTTTTTTATTTTATATATCTATACATTAAAAAGTGAGTCGTATTTTTCTAAAAATATTTGACACACTTTTTTTATTGTATTGTAGAGATAATAATTTCCTTAAATGCAGATTACATGTTATAGTTATGTGCAGTGAGGTGACTGACCTTGGCCTCCAGGGTCTCGAGGTTGTTGACCCCGCCCGCCTCCAGGGTTTGCTGAAACAAACAAACGAATTTTAAACAAGTTTGGAAAATAACCTTGGGTTATTCGTTGAATTATTTGATTTAAGTGCAACTTAACACATCTTAGAGTTTTACATTTGCGTAAATATCTATCTTAGTGTGTTTACTTGTCGTGAGTTTGATTCTCACCCAAGACAAGTAACTGTGTGAGTGGGATGCGCATGATCAGTTGTTTTATGTCTGGGTGTAATTTATCTATCAATATGTATGTATTTGGTAATATATAAATAGGTATATCTATTAGAAGTCTAGTTACCATAGTACAGGTTCTGTCTGTTATTATTATATGCGACTGTACCGTCAGAGGTCGCGGGTTCAATTTACGCTCACTGCGAATATTTGTGTGCCGGATCATGTGTATGCATAGATCATAGTTGTTTATGTATTAATGTAATTTTCGTGAGTGGTATTTATATTTAACCCGTCGGCTCACGTAGGTGCGCTCGGGGATACGCCAAGATACTTAAACTCCGAAACCAATCAGATATTCCCGAAATGCACCCATGACCAAAACCGTATATCTTTAATTAATATAACAGGTATTTATGTCCTCCTGTTTCATGGTATAAGTAAAATTTTCTTAGCACTTAAAACCATTAATTAAAGTTGAAGTCAGGTATTTACAAATAAATGTAGGTACATGTATCGTAAACACTACGCTCGTGCAGTTTGAGTTATAAAAAGCACTGTCTTATAATACCTTTAAGTATTATATTTTCTTAATTCTTTCTTTTGGAACGAAGTTCCTTAAAATGTGTAACAAGCCTTTTTGCGACTCTTCTTGGGACCGGAGGTTCATAGGTTCATCGTTTTCTTCTTTCTACAATTTTTAATATACTTTCAATTTGCCTATCTAATCCTAAAAGGCCAGGTTGACGGCATTTAATACCTCACTGTTCACGTAAATGGACAAAAAGTTATAGTTAGCTAAATGGTTAATACACATCACATCAACAGCCTTTATTAGTCCACTGCCGTACATAGGCCTCTCCTTAGAAAGGAGGTTTTGGCCTACTATACCACGCTGGCCAGACGGGTTAGTATAGGGTTTGTGTCAAGAATTCCTTCTCTCTGCAGTGCTATTGTCCTGCGTAGTTTGCTCCCTTAGTCGCCTCTTACGAGTACTTACGACACCCACGGGATGAATAGGGGTGGTGACACTGTATTCTTAATCCGACACCACATGGACTTGGTTTATATGCCTCTGTCTATTCCTTTATAAATATTTGATTAGCCTTAGTCTAGTGGTTAGGAACGTAGAGTAGAGTTCGTGGATTCGATTCCCACCTACGACAAATAATTGTTTGACGAGCATGATCATTTGTTCGGTTTTAGAGTGTAATTTATCTATAATATGTATGTATTTAGAAATATATATGTATGATTAGCAGTAATCTGGTTACCATAGTACAGGCTCTACCTAGTTTGGAATTGGACTGCTGTGTATGAGATTATGATTATTATATAAATATTGACGTGAGTGTGTGTATGTAAATTCTAGCAGCAGAAGCAGAAGTCGGTTCTTCTCTAGAGTATTCTACATCAAAGGGGAAATAGATCGTCTCACACGGCTGCAAGTAACGATAGCCATTTGCATAATACACCCTTCCAAAGGTCTATAAACACTAACACGAAATTTATGGTTCCCTGGAATGTTTATGGGGCTGGGGGTTAATTAACAAAATGGTATTTGAGGTTGTTAGATTGTTTCACTTGTTCATGATAATTCATAAATTAGAGTCATGAGAATTTTACAAAACGAACAAGTATCCAGTACCGCCTACTATCTTTACTTTAAAACTATAAAAGGTCCATCAAATGTAGCTTTTATGGTATAGGAGATGAACTTGCAGACGGATGACCCGATGGTAAGTGACTACCACCGCCCATAGACACCTGTAAATAAGAGTCCCCCCAAAATTAAATAAAGTGGGGGTTTAGGGCTCCTGGGACTTCATTCACTCGGTAAAAAAAAGAAAAGGTTGTTTATCACCAAACACCAACCAACAAAGATTGTTTTCTTTGAAGCCGTGGTATTATATGGCACTCCTATCGATGCTGCCATTAGTGAACTTAGCTGCATTTAAGAACAGGATATAAGTGAATTTATACAATTATTTAATTATATTTGTGGCTAATATTGTTTATCCGAGTTTATTTGTGAATCACCCTTTTGTGTTCTAAGTACTTAACCGATTAGCATCAAATTGCATAAATATTTTCACGGATGTATAAGACGATAGGGAAACTCTATATAAAAAATCTGCATTATATATATATATAATAAAGCCGAGAGCAAATAACATTTTAAGAAAAGTTAAAAGAGATTTGTTTACCTGGTAAGTTAGTTCCAGGTGGAGTGGGTTAGGTTGTTTTAATAAATAATGTACACATACATAGGACTACGTCTCAAATAATATCATGTATCGATGTATGAATTGGTCAAGAAATCCCTTGTTTGATTCCTTTACTAAGACAAAGATATCCCCCTACAAATATGCCTGATACCTGATGCTCGCTAAATGCTAATTATAAACGGACGGCCTGTTGGTCTAGTGACCCTGACTGCTAAACCGGAGGTCGTGAGTTCGATTCTCACCCAGGACAAATATTGTGTGATGAGCACGGTCATTTATTGTGTCTGGGTGTAATTTATATATTTCAAATAATTATGTAAGTTTTTTTGACATAACACATTGAAATTGACATTGAAAATTATCATACAAGTGCAAAATAGGCTTTTTTTAAATGCAATAAAATATATTTAAAAAAATATATAAAAGAAAAATATTTATACAAAAATAATTTCATCTTTTTTTACAAAAATCACATGCTTCATTTGACTTTGAGTGCCTATCAAACAAACACTGAAAAATGTAACATCTAAAATACATATAATTTTGTTTGAATAATATTTAGACAATGTAGTATCCAAATATGGTAAAAACGGAAATTCGTTTTTTTTAGGAACCGACATTATTCTACGATCATGACGAAATATATAAAATATTCGTGTTATTGATAAAATACGTCTAGACTTATTACACAATTAATTGTCCTGAGCGAGAATCGAACCCACGACTAGTCAGAATCACTAACCACTAATGCACCAGGCTATCGAAGTAAAAAAAAAGAAGTTTATCTTTATAGAGCTGCTAATATAGACAGATGATCATAGTTTTAAGTGATAATAAGACTGATTAATTAACCTTCACACGTGTGCAAGTACAACACACGCCATTTTATGTTCTCATATAAATTAAGGTAATTAACACAATGATCGACCCAGTTTCACTCTATGTGTAGCATTGAAGGCTGCAAGCGCTTCATTATGAAGATTATCAGCCGTATTACTGGTTGATAAGAGCCAAGGTCCCACAGAGAGCGGGGAGCGGTAAACGGAATGTATCGCTGAATCATTTATTTAAAAAAACAATGCGTAATGTACTCTACAAGGAAAGAAATATATATATATGTAAATACATAAATTGGTAGAACAGCAACATACATATTTATACTTAAAAATATTTGTAAAGAGTGGAAATCGAATCCAAAACATTTGAACCAAAAAATGAATTTACTGTATTTTTTTTAGAAGTTACGTCTTATTGCTTTATGGTCGTGTTCTTGGTTTTTCTAATTAGAAGTAGATAAAACATTTACATATACTGTTTCAAAAACTTTTTTTCATCTAACGCGTGAGAGAGAAAAACGTTACAAGATTTCTACACCACCCAAAGGTCGACTGAAAGAGAATGCCCTCAGTATTAAGTCCGCCGAAGTACAATAGTGCATAAAGTAAAATAACTAATAAACACCTTTATATTGGCTGATATAATTTGTTTCCACTTAAATTACAGGAGACCAACCCATTGCCATTAACCAGGCAAATTGGAAATTGAATTTGGAATTTAAAAAAAACAATTGAAAGAAAACGGATATTACCTATACCTATAGAGAGGGTCGATTAACTAAACTAAAGGCCCGACGGCTTTAGTTCAGTTTGAACGTGTGGAATCTCTCACTTAGGTCATCAAGTCACCTATACGAATGAAGCTGACTAAAATCACACGGAGTGTCATACTTTGCCTAAAATAAAAGGCCGGCCATTTCTCTAAGTTTTATCTAAGTCGCAGTAAAGCGACGGAGACTGCTTGAATGTTCAAAACCAGTAAACTATTTGCGATTTTCTAGACGATATGTTTGATATCTTATTTAAGTAGTTATTTATTTATTGAGTTTCCTGTACCACATTATTTATCCGCTCACAGTTTAACCAACGCTGAACTTATATCCACTAACCGCTTGCATGCACCATGGCTTTCTATTTCACATCGCCATCAGATTTCACGTGATTAGTAGCAATCGTAATACAACCTACGCCCCATTGTTCGTTCCTGACTTTGAAATGCAGCCTTCAGCCTTACACAAGAAACATGTCATTTTATTGTCGAGCCGCTAACAAATTTTATAGAATTAAACAATCATCGACTCGACGCACTCCATTATCTTCTATTCTCTTCTGTTGCCGGGATTACCGATCCTGATTACTAAGCCAGGCGTGGGTTCGATTCTCACTCAGGAGAAATATTATGTGATGGGCTAAAATAAATATAAATGACACCCAGACACTGAACAAATTATCGTCATTTGTTCAATCTCTAGGTGTAGTTTATAAGTAGTAACATATAGTATGTTTATGTAGAAATATATGCGTCAGTTACCATCAGGAGACCCAACTGCTTGTTTATGCCATAAAAATACCCCAAGATTGAGTGTTACATATTAAACTCCAAATAAAATTGAAGTATAGTAGAATAAAGTGTAGGAAAACGAACAAGATGATATAAACTCCTCGATCGATGTTACTTTTTTAAACTGAAAGTACCCAGTTTTACCGAACCCTTTTAATTAAATTTCATGGTTGAAATCCTGTGATATACATTAACACTTTCTAGTGTAATGGAAACCCA